AAGGGGGTCCGAAATCCCCCGACAGGTGAGTGCGCTGGGGGGGCCCGGCCCCCAACCGGGTGCCCTGCCCGGCCAGGCCGCCCAGGACCTCCCCCGGGCCCCTGCCGGTCACCCGGGCGGCCTGGATCCCCACTCAGAATAAAATGTTAATCAGAAAAGCAAAACAAAATGCACTTTTCACCTCTTCGCGGCAGTGTGTCAGCATTTTCTGGGTGCAGCCAGATGAATTCAAAATTCAAAAGCAAAGCAAGCTCGAGCAATAAATTGCTGCAAGGAATTTGAGCAATAGCGAGATGACAATATTCAGATTGCACAATCACATTGAAAGCCAGAGTGTTCAGAAAGCAGCATTGCACCAATATGACACCAATGGAGAATCGTAGCACTGAAAATCAATGTCAATGAGAGCTTGCTCTCGCCACCACCAACATATGTATCCAGCCCCTATCTCCCTACTTGGCGCTCGGCGCCCAGCCTACTCCCTACACAGCTACTACTAGCCTACTAATTGACAATGCAACTGTTGACGTCAGCAGCCTCCGAAGTACTTGAAGATGTCGCCCATGCAGACCATCGCCAATACCAGGTATGTGCCCTCACATCATCATCATCATCATCCTTCTCTCTCTCCCTTGTCTTACTTCCACGTCTTCACTCTGTACACCCGAAGACCACCCCTGCCTATCCCTGTAGTCCAAGCCCAACCATCTATGGAGGATGGGCTATGGCGCTGCCCTCAGCAGGGCCCTGCTCCCTGCACGACCGGACGCGCTAGCACCTTGCCAGCAGAAGCCCATGAGCGTCCGCTCCAGCAACGCTGCCGCTAGCATGCGAGTGCCTGAATGAGGCTGCCGGTGGCGAGCTCTTTCCTAAATGGAAAGAGCCTCCTGCCCTCGCAGCCTGGCTGGACTGGCCTGGGCCCAGAAGCTTCCGGTAGGCCCCAACATGCTGCGCTTGTGTTGCAGCTACTGGGCCTCTTTCGGTTGGGCCTCACAACTGTGAGTGTATGAGGCTGTGATTCTCGCCCAGGGCCTGCATTCTTGGGAAGGCCCAGAAGGCCGTGGAATGTCTTTGTTGCTCGGCCTGTATTTCCCTTAACCAACTGGCGCGTCGCAACTGTCTGGACCCCCAAATACGAAATTGACAGTCGAGGGCCTCTCATGATTTGTTAGGCCCGCCTTCACTTAGGGCGGGCAAGTATGCAACAGGGGGCCCTTAGGCCAGCCGAGGACCCAGATCCTCACGTTCCCTCCTCCTGTACTTCGATAGTCCTCTGAGAAGTCTTCTATTCTGCAGGCATCTTCCTTTTGAGATCTCTTTCGTAGCCTGCAATGACTTGAGGTGCAGTTCTCATGAGTTCTTCTCTGGTGAACCACCGATCTTCGCTGGGATCCAGATGATGTCTGAATCTGACCCGGTATTGCATTTTTGGCTTAGGAATGCGGCCTCTGCCCGGTGGTCAAGGAACAGGCATCACACGATGCTCAACGATCTGGTCGATGTCCACTTCACCATCCATGGTTGGGGGCAGCATTGACCGTCTGGAAGGGAACTGTGCAGACTCTGCGAAAGGTGCCAGCTTTGAGGCATGGAAAACAGGACGTGTGCATAGGTGTCGTGGGATGCGAATCACATAGGAGGGTCCGTCTACCTGATCTCCCACTATGTCTAGGACCTCCCACAGACCGAAGTACTGTGGCATTAGTTTTCCGGAGATTCCAACTTCCTGTCCCAGTTCAGATGACTTGACCCAGACTCTGTCTCCTACCTGAAAATTAGAAGGCCGTTTGTGTTTGTTCTCAGATGCAATCATAGCATCTTGAGACTTTCTAATATGTTCAACGGCCTGTTGCATCATCTGTTCGTATCTGACAGCGAACTCTATGCTGCCTGGTGCTGCAGTTATTCAGGTAGTAGAAAATCAAGGGCGGATCTGGGCTTCCAACCAAGATGCAATTGGTTGGGAGTCTTGCCGGTAGAGCTGTGCACAGCGTTGTTGTACAGGCTGGCGACGAGTGGTAGCTTCTCGTCCCAGTCATCCTGGCTTGGCTTAATGTAATGCCGAAGCAAGTGCTGTACTACTCAGTTCATTTGCTCCGCCTGTCCATTTGACTCAGGGTGGTTCCCTGATGTCATCTGTAGTCTGGTTCCCATCTGCTGTGCTGTGTTTTGCCACATTTCGCTGGTGAAACGAACATCCCTATCACTAACGATAAACTTGGGTAAGCCGAAGTCCCGTACCCAGTTTTCCATAAATAGGTTGATGACGTAGTCAGTCTTAGCAGTTTCTGGCGTAGCAATTAGTCTGGCATACTTGGTAAAACGGTCTAAAGTCCATGGACACACTCTGACCAGGACCTTCAGGAATCGGCAAGGGCTTGATGAGCCCGAACGGAGCCTGAGTCCTGTTTTTGTCCCGTTGACAAACCTGGCAGGTTTCAACATACCTCTTGGCATCTTGCATCATAGTTGGCCACCAGAATCTCTGTACTAGGTTAGCTGATGTCTTCCTATAGTGAAAAATGACCAGTTGCATCATGACACTCACGTAGAAATAAACTACGCAAAGACTCATTATTGGGAACACACAGTCTTTTATTCCCTGCCTTCTCAAGAAACAGCAAGCCGTCAACCATCGTAAATTCATCGGAAGTCACTTTGTCCTTCTTTTGAACTTTACGGATGATCTCAGACATAACAGGATCTTGTTGATAGGCTTCCACCAATGACCGAGTTAGGTCCTCAGATTGCCACACTCGGTTACTAAGGCCCCCAGATAATATGCCCTACGCGATAGCGCATCAGCCACTTTGTTGTACTCTCCCTTGATAGGATCAAGTTGATAGTCATACATGTCTATCACTTGTATCCATCTCTTGAGTGCGTCTGAGAGTACCGGCTGTGTTTTGATCCAGCGCAAGGTCTCATGGTCAGATCTTACATAGAAAAATCTGCCAAGCAGATAGTGTCTCCAGTGGACCAACGGTCGGTACAGGGCATAGAGCTCACGCTCATAAGTAGACCTGGCTAGTTTCTGAGATGGCATCTTTTTACTCGTATACTCGATCGGTCTCAACTTTGGCCCCTCCTTTTGCGCAAGGACTGCGCATATGCCATATTGGCTGGCGTCTGTGGTCACGACAAAGGGCTTATCAGGAGCTGGAAGTTTGAGGACTTCGTAGTGCGTCAGCGCATACTTCAATTTCTTGAAGGCCGCTTCACACTCTTCACTCCACTCCCAAGGGGTGTCGAGTCGAGTTAGATCTGTTAATAGGGCAGCTATAGTCCTATAGTTCTTAACAAACGGACGATAGTAGTCCGTCATCCCCAAAAACGATTTGACCTCAGTAACAGTCTGAGGTCTCGACTAGTCCCGTGTGCTGGCCACTTTGGCATCGTCGCCTCAATCCTTCCGTGGAGATTTCATGACCCAAGTACAAGATCTTAGTGCGACCGAACTCGCATTTCTCCAAGTTGATCTTGTACTGGTGCTGTCTTAGGAGACCTATCACCATTTTCAAGATCTTGTACTGGTGCTGTCTTAGGAGACCTATCACTATTTTCAAGTGCTCAGCGTGCTCCTCTACACTCCTACTACATATGAGAATATGGTCAAGGTACACGACGATAAACTTGTCTAAGTTACTCATGAAAGATCCTATTCATCGCGTGCTGGAATGTCCTAGGGGCATTGCATAGGCCAAACGGCATCACCACAAACTCATACAGATCGTACCTGGTCTGAAAAGCGGTTTTGTGCTGGTCCTCAGGTCTAATAGCAATTTGATGGTATCCGGACTTTAGATCTATCTTAGTAAATTACCGACATCCCTGCACTCTATCCAATAGGTCGTCGATGCGGGGTAGGGACTCTGCGTTCTTTACTGTGATAGCATTGAGGCCCCTATAGTCAATGCACATCCTTAAGGTACCCCCCTTCTTAGGGACAAATAAGACTGGCGCACCGTAAGGGGAGGTACTAGGCTGCATCCATCCCTTTTCTGTGAGCTCCTTGAGCTGGCGGCGGAGCTCATCCAATTCCGCAGGAGACATCCTATAGATTCGTCCTCTAGGCACCTTACTACCTGGGACAACCTCTACCGCATGGACCACCTCCCTTTCCACCACGCCTATGGGCTCCTCGAAAAGGTCGGAATATTATGCGACGACTGATTTTATCTTTGGGGGTGCTTTAACGGCCTCCCCTTTCTCAAAGACAAAGACTAGATACATGCCCTCCTCGCGATTCTGCTTATAGTAGTTATAGAAAGAGAATGCACACATGCACCCGTAGTTTTCCACTGGACTACTAGCTCTAAACTTTTGCAATCTAACGGTTCTACCGTTGGGCAGCTTGTGGATCAACACCTTTCTATCCCAATCAAATTGAGGCTGAGCAACCTCGAGGTAGTACATGCCTAGTAACATATCGAAGGGCAATTCGTCGCTGACGAGGAATGAGATTTTATGTCTCACTTCCCCTCCTCCATAAGAGAAGGTATAGACTAGGTCCTTGACATAGTTTTTAACTAACATCTGGTGCTTGTTGGCTAGCGCAGAAGCTACAGTTCTGCTAAGCCGCTGCACTTGGTCCCCTAAGCGCAGTCTATCCACACAAGCACGACCGATGAAATTCCGTGTAGAGCCTATGTCTGCGAAGGCACCCACTTTGCGGCCACCTACATCAACCTCTACCACGAAATGTTTACCCTTTGGACCTCTACTGATCATTGCCCTCTCTGGGGTCCTTCCCTAACCACTCAGACTATAACTCTTTTAAGGACTCAAACCCATCTCTCGAACAGAGCGTCGGTGGGTCTGAATGTGTCTGCGGGGCGATGTTCGGGTCACTAGCCTTGGCCAACGCCTGACGTGAGGAAAGCAACGTTACCACTTCAGCACGAGTAAGAGCAGCTAACACTCCTATTGGCCAGAGGTGTTTCCCTACAAAGTGCTCGCAAAAGCATTGTCAGGATTCGAGGATAAGCCCAGTACTGTTGGAGCGGCTACCCTCGTCGTGACCTTCTTGCCTCGGCAAGTCCTCGACGTGTGGCCATAGTTGCCACAATTCATGCATGTGCCCCTGGCAACTTAGTCCCTCCACACCTCGTAATCTAAACCAAGTTTTACCCATGCGGGTGTTCCTTGGTCGCCCTGACCCGTAGACAGGACTACCTTCTTCTTCCCGGTCCCCCTAGCCTTTTCTTTGATAGGTGCCACAACCCCCCCATCTGAAGTCTCGTTGGCCCCATCATGCTTTGTCTCATCCCCTAGATCTCGGAACTCGTCAATTTTCGTCGTCTGATCATCATGGTCGACGAACATTAACTAACCCTTCTTCTTCCAATCTTGGGGTAGCTTCTTCCCATATGTTGGACCCTGATGCGCGAATCCAAGCTTTGCCTCTATATCTAAGGCTTTCTTGTTGAAAGTAGCGAAGCTACGTTGGTCTATGTACGCCTCATCCACCAGCTTAGTTCTAACTTCTGAGGTAGACATCTCAAGTAGTGTGTGAGGAGTACTTGTGGGTCAAAATGCACACCAGGTACTACGATCAGACGTTCTACGGTGTCGGTGACTTCGCGTACATTCTTGTACCTTTTGGCACAAAGATTGTTAATCGCGTCGGTGACCTTCTGAGCCCCTTGGGGGTCATGCCACCTATTGTACACACTCCGCACGAACTCTTCCAATGTCTGGGCCTGAGCCCAGGCGTCAAAGTTCTGACCATAACCCTGCTGCTGCACTACCCCATTTAACCAACGTGTTGCCGATCCCTCTAAAAAGGAGTCAGCAACTATGACTTCCTGCTCTGGCCTTGTGAGCTTGTGCCTCACATAAGTAGGCACAGTCCTCACCCAGGTATCCGGGTCCTCGTCCTTCTTCCTGTCGCCAGAGAAAGGTTTAGGACTCAACAATGGGATCTTAGGCATCCACTGCATGGGCTGCATTGGCCCAAGAGCTTGTTGAGTGGCTGCATAGCCACTGAGACAGGTTGCTGCGCACTAACCTGAGCTTGCACTAACGATGGGACTGTAGTAACCACCATCGTGGATGGTACGGTTGAAGCTCTAAGAACCGGACCACTAGTAGCCACATAACCACTTGGAGGGGGCATGCCAAACATAGGAGAGAAAAAGGGTCCTACCGGCGACGGCGTCACTGAGGGACCCGCAACCGAAGGGGGAGCTACAGCAAACTGAGGCTGCCTCATCAATGGACGAGGAGCCTGCAGTGCAGCCAGAATCTGTTTCTGGCCTGCCACTAGTTCAGCCAAAACCTCTTGCTGAACTACCTGCGTTTCAGCCACGCAGGGAGCGAGCCACGCAGCGCTTGTATAGTAGGATCTAATGTTGACTCGTCTAGTGCTTCTAGTTTGCCTAGCTCCTGCATTCTACTTCCTAGTCTAGCTTTCCTCATTATAGCTCTTCTTCTCCTCTCTGCTGCCTCATCCAACTGCCGATGCAACTCATCCTGAAGTTTTTCTGCTTGGAGGATTTCATAATCCTCCGGCGTGAGTTGAGCCTGTTGGTTGGCTTGAAAGCCAACACTCCGGCTAACAGAAGCCTGAGAACTACTCTGACTGACTTTTGACAAAGTGGCCTGTGGAGGGGCCTGCGACATGGAGGAGGTGGTCATGGTTGCACTTGTGCTAGCTATAGTTCTAGACCTAGCGCTGGCCACGGCGTCCCTCGCTCTCCTTGCTGCTGCCCTCTCTCTAGCCTCTCTCCGCAGTCTCCTCTCATCTCCTCGACCTAACTCAAGGAAAGTCGAGGGTCGACTGAAAGCAGTTCTATGAGTGATCCTAAGGTCATCCACTAACAACTCCTCCTCACTAGTGCTTGCATCACTCATGAGCTACAGTGTGTGTGATCTAAACAAGAATCCACATTGAATCCTACCTCAGCATGACACACAACCGAGTATGATATACAACTAATTCCGGTCGGCCAGGACAAAAACAGTTAGGTAGTTTAGTGTCAACTAATGTCAGATCCTATACGGAACGTTAAATCTATTTTTAGATTACTTTAATACTGATTGCAATGCAGCAAGAAATATTCTACTCTATCTGCAACTGTCTGTCAATTCAATCTATTTTTAGATTACTTCAATACTGATTGCAATGCAGCAAGAAATATTCTACTCTATCTACAACTGTCTGTCTGTTGTAAGTCAAGTCCGTAACAACTAAATAATCAAAAAAAAAAAAAATGTTCCCTGCAGAGATGCATCCTGAATGGCAATTTATCTAATTAATGCCACAACGAACAGTTGTCAGAATCCACCCCTTTCCCTGTATCCCTCTTGAGTAGTCACTTTGTGTCAATGCCCTGAGCATCTGGTTGAGCAGCGTGTCTAAAGGTGTGCAATCCGGCCCACCCCTGTGCCCCAAGTCTATACCGAACCTGCCAGCCCCTGCACCTTGTTATCCTCGCATGCAACGAGCCTTACACCCGGTTTGATCTGGCTGATCAAAAGGCAGTTTTAGGACAGGCCCCACCGTCCTCAGGAATTATTTAACGTCGCAATCAGGACGACGATCACAGCCAGAGTCAACACTGAGTCCCTGCCAGAAATATTTAAAGACGGTCTGGAAAGCGTCTGTTCAAAGGGCTGGCATGCCCTGCATGACCTCTATTGAGCAGCAGCAAAACCAAGGACTTGCTGCAAAGCATGCACGTACTAGTCCCAGCGGGTTGGCATGGTCACCGTGACCCGAGTGCTTCGTCCAGGGCCCTTCAGAGGCTTCACCCGTGTCCCACCAGCTTGCTTCCCAGGAAGAATGTCGACTCTCAAGGTTGAGCGCTCGCGACACCTCACATTGAGAGGACTCTCAAGACAGAACTCACTTCCTCACAGTAAGAAGTAATGGAGGGGGTAGATAAGGAAGAGAGCAACGTACCTCATAATGCTGCCCCCAACCACAGATTTCTCACCGGCAACTTGATGTGCATTTATGATGACCGCTCTTTGCCTCGGCACAATCAACATCAGAATGCAGTTCCACCTCGGCTTAAATGCCCCATCAGTGAGCTCTCATCATCCCCCGTACACCCCTAATGTCACCACATAGCTTCCTGGCGCGCCCACACGACCCTGGGCCGCCTTACGTCCAACGCCCAAGCCTTATCACTGCCCCACACCTCATGCGAAGCACCGAACAGCTATTGCGAAGAACCAATGAAGCACAGTTCGAACCAGCTCCGATACCAAATTGCAAGGAATTTTAGCAATAGCGAGATGACAATAATCAGATTGCACAATCACATTGAAGGCCAGATAGTATCACAGTGTCCAGAAAGAAGGAATGCACCAATATAACCAATGAAGATCCGTAACACTGAAAACCAATGTCAATGACAGCTTGCTCTCACCACCACAAACATGAGTGTCCAGGCCCTAT